CGAGACAAAAAAGAAATTTCATCTGGAGGAACGCCAGCCCGATAAATTCAAACGCGGTCTCGGCGACGTTGCGTTACAGCGTAGAATCTCGTCTGAATGTTTCAGAAGTCAGCGTGTGTTTATTGCGCTTCAACCTCTCTTGCCGCAATAAGTTTCCACGGTAATGCGACCAAAGCTTAAGTTTAAACACTATGTTAATTGCATTGTTCCGGGACAGAGCACAAAACGTCTAGTAAATGCCATCTGCTTTCCACGCCAAACTATTATGCTGTGAATCACGGTCCTCATTTTCAACTCACAATTAAACTATTATTGTCTCGCAATATGCACAAACGTTTGTCTCATCTATATTATCCAGCGAAACAGTGATATAAATTGTTGTTCACATGTTGGAAAGTCCATATTAAACGGACATAAAAGTTGTTGTATTGTACGACATTAAATTCCCGCGAAACAAAACGTAAACGATAATAGCAGTAAAATTTCAATTATAAATAATATAGTTTCTGTGTCCAATTATTCACTTATAGAATCCACCACGTGCCGTTCACATTCTTTCCGTTCCATCTGTCACGATTATTCGAGAGTAGCGAGTCGAGCGGAAAGCCGTCGATACGTCAAATCGACTCGATGCCTTCATCGCTTTTTTTTCACCCCTGCTGAACCAGAGACATCAAGAACGTCGGCGCCTCGCCGGTAAACTCAATCAAGAGATTCCATTTGCATTTTTGCGCCGACATGCAGAAGACTATATTTCCTCCCCGTGAGCGGCGGTTCTCTTTCTTATCTGACATGATGTTTTCACTGCGCAGCTGTCTCTGTCCGTTCCTCGCTTTCCTCGCTGTGAAATTTTCACGGGAGCAGAAGTCCAATCGCGTGCAGAAACGAGCAGTCGCTCTAAATGCAATATTCAACTTATCTGGATCTGCGATTTCAGGTGCTACGAATACGCTTGGAAATCTAAAATGCGATCTATCGAGCAAAGATCATATTTTCCCAGAAAAATAAATCGGCAGATATTATTGCCATAAGGTGTGCGTTATTACGCGTCGGATCAGTGGAAAAGTTGTGCGATCGAGACATAAACAAACTGAAGTGCATTATCGCGCGTGAAAACTTTCATATCGCATCGTATCGCACAAATTATTGCGCTGATTAAAAAAAGATATATATATTTTCCTCTTTTTTTCTGCCATCAACGTTCTAAAGCATCTAATACATAATAATTATTACATAGAGATAATTAGAATTATTTTAAAATAAATTTAAAAAAAGATCAATTCAATTTCATCCAGTTTAATTTAATTGCTTTCTTGGGATAACACGTCGTGTACTATATATAATTTATAACTAAACTGAGAGAAATCAAAGATAAATTGAAATTCGAAACTGATGAGACTTCGCGCGTAGTAACCTATCATTAACTGTCAATATCACGTCACGATCGATGAATTACTTTGCATCTACCAAACATCCGGCGCATATGGTAAATGGCGGATTACGTCGCGGTATTTCCTAACAGTTACACGTACGGGCACGTGATATCAACGCGCGCACGCGAAGTCTGAATATAATCACTACCCATAAATCATTCGATTCCCCGATCCCCGGCGGGAAGACGAAGCGAGCAGCTCCACTCGCGAGAAAATCAAGACTCGCGCCGGTGTTCGATCCTCCCCATAGACTCGTCTCACCTTGTCGCGGTTCGATTCTCTCCCTTATCTTCGCCGGAGACATTTCTACGACATTAAGCAGCCGTATCGACACACCGCGCGACGCCCGCCGCGTGTGAGATATGACCGGATATCCGGCCGATCCCGCGGCGGTATCCCCTGTGTTTCCTCCCCCTGGTGTTTCTCGCAGAGGCTCTCGTTCGGGGCGGTTGTCTGCAAACTTTGATTACATCTGCCAGCAGCCTCCCTTACGTTTCCCCTTCTCATCCCCCGCCGCAACACAAATATAGACACGCACCACCAACACCTTATTCTTAGACGTTGTCTACCGAGTCCGTCACCCTGACTGCCCCCTTCTGTTCCTTCTCACCAACGTCCGTCCCGTCAGATTTACCACGTCAAGTATTCTTCCCCCCATCTCGCGTCCCTTCTGCCCTTGCGAAAACCCATGAAAACGTATTTAACGGACGTCCCGGTTGGCGACGCAAAATGTAATTTCGTTAGCTGTTACGTGAGTCGCCTGACAAAAGTACAAGATGAAAATTGTGCCTTTCAGGATGTTATTGGACTTTTCCGACAGGTGTCATAGCGATCGAGTCGAATGACAAGATGACAAGATTCACGATCTGAATCGCAAAAACATACTGATAATCATTAATCATCATAAATCTCTCGTAGGATTATCTAACTTTTTTTCTAAATTGCGATAATACATTTGTTTAATTTAATCCCTAATTAAACTGTTGCCACTATTTATAAATTCAACTCGACAATTTTTCAATGCTCATTGAAAATTCGTTTTAATGGCGACATCTAAATTGTAATACGTGTAATACTCTACGTTTAATTATATTTGAATCGTGATATATTACTCCGCATGCATTCCCATCTCATTCAACGATTGGAAACTGTATCAATTTCAAATATCGCTACATTCCAAACGGATTTCCGATACTCGAGATCCAAAGGCATTTTTATTAAATTAAATGTACAGAATTGTAGTAATTTCAAATGACCATCGCGCTATAGAAAGTAGAGAAAGAAAAGGACGATCATTTTACTTTATTACCTCAAAGAAATTGCGTAAATTAACTTCAACTTCAGGTGACACCTGGCAAACATTCCTCGTCGGTAGCTTTGTCAATAGGACAACGCAGATATTTGCAGAATAAACACGATGAACATCGGCATATTGCGAAATTTTGTCCCGACGAATTGCAAACTGTCGCTTCGGGCAACGGATCCTTTACACCGTTCAGACACTCCTCTATTCAGTTCACTGGGCAAAGGTTCCCCATACAAGATGATGATTACCCGAACGATTGCTGTTATTACTTTCCGAGAAGATGCCGCGCTATTTTAATTGAGCGTAACACCACATAAGATGACGGGGGTCTCCGCGAAAGGCCACATTAACGTTCCTAGAAGCGCAAATCCGTCGTGCAAACGGCACACGCCAAGTTTCTGTCTTATTCTGCGAGTTGGCGGTTGGTTCGTGAACCACGATATTTCGCCATGAAGGATGTCGCCGACGACTTTGAATGATCGCAGTAATAACGAGGAAAAGCACGCGGTTGAACTTCTATTCTACACTGCCATTCGATCATTATGATAAAATAAAACGATTTTGTTATCAGAAATAATATTTAAAATAAATAATATAAATTGAATGATAAATTTCTTAGTTTAAATTTGAAATAAAAAATTTGGTGATATAGATAGAAATATTCTCGATAATAATAATAAAGTAAGTCGGGAGGTATTTTAATCTTAACTATGCAAGTAAGAGATAAAATATTACAATGGTATCCTATCGACGACATTGTTTGTTCGTCGTAATGACGTTCATCGCTCTTGTTCCACAAAAGAACCATGGGAAGTAGTGACAACGATAACAGGAAAAGTGACATCGTTCGTTAGGTAGATCCTAAAGCTCTCGTTAGACGCTGGGTAGCCGTCACCGTTTTATCCCGTCGAGAATTAATCAAATCGGCGATAAAGTGGATTATGCGTCGAGGTTCGATGGGCCTCGATTCCATAATGCGATTGGCCATGCTTCTCCCGCGGGAGGTATTTTTCAGCTTCCTTCAAGTATAATGATTCATAATTAGATATTACCTGCAACGTATTAAGGAGGGCGCTTAATATCTTAATAGAGTTAGCGGGAAGTATTCATAGTCATTACCGTGGGGTAGTATAATTAACTAGCTCGCAACTGACTTAGCGGAAGTGATTTTTCTACCTTTATCAAATCTCTTTTTCTTCAAATATATTTGCGAAACTTTTCTGACTGATTAAGATTGTTGTGATGTCATTTGATAAATATTCATTTATTAGTACATGTATTCGCGAAATTCTACGTAATAAAGATTAGATTAATATAGCAAAGAATGATCGTTAACACAAAATAATATATAGAAATTGGAATCAAATAATGTCATAAAACCCAAACGAAATATAAAGATCGCGTAATCAGAGAAAGCATATTATATGACATATAATACGATTCTATATACGATATTATATCAATTTATAAAAAAAAAATGGAGATTTACTAACGAAAACCGAGTTGACAAAATCACGTTTATTTTATCGGGTATCCGTACGAGCATTAAATCCCATATGGATACCGGAAATATAACTCCGTCATTTTGTCGTCGGTGGAGAATTACACGTCAGTAGACGAAAACGAGGGAATAATTTACGCCGGTCGTCGGTCCAGAAAGGAGAAATCCGCGCTGAGAGGAGAAAGCGTTCGTAGGCTGACTTTGTTACTCGCTCTTACCCCGAGCTTTTTGTCAGATAAAAAGTTTCCCCGGGAAAAGGAACCAATTTAATAAGGCCTTAATAACTTCCCGGAGGGAGGCAGACGCTTGGCGTACGGCTGTGTTTGACGGCTACTTCACAGTCTTCTCCTTTTTCGACGTGAAGAGTAAATTCACGCTTCCTCGTAACGGAGTGGTATAACCCTTTATTGGCAGAACAGCGATACCGCTGTTCTCGTCATTCTCACTCCTCGCGATTGTTCAGCTTTTATTCCACGTCAAAGGTGGCTACAGAACTAAGTTCGTTGAATCGATAGAGTTGTACGTTCAACGAATCTTGTGGCGTGAAAATTGCATCGCGTCAGGAACAAAACTTTTTTAAAGCATGCTTTATCAGAAACGCGATACGTGATGCAATTACACATGAAGTAATGTGTATTCCATTTCGTGGATTATTATGTAATTTAGCGACGAGTATATGAATGTGTGCAATAAAGTTATAAATCTTTCTTATTTGTTAAAAGCTGAAATATTGACGTCGACTGTGTTCCTTTTGTTACAGAGATCTTCAGGGAAATAATGTATCGGTGATATTCAAGACAGATTTTGAAGACATGGCAACATTACACGTTTTGTAAGTATTTTTAACTCTCTTAATTCAAATTTGTTAATTATATAATAACGAATGCAAATAGTTGATTTACATTAATTTTTATAATTCTATTTGTAACTGCGCTTCGACGAAAATTATGCTCAAAGTATTTAAGAATTTGGATTGTTGAATTTTGATGTAGTACATCAATTTTGTAATACATTTACACATATGTAGGCCAAAAACTTTAAAACTTTATGTAATATTATCTAAATGTTGACATACACGCGTCAATATAAAAAATTATTTGCGTTAATTACTGTAATATTGCAATAACATTTTCTTTTTAATTAATTCTTATATCATGAAAATATTTCTTTACAGATTGTTATCCAACAATCAAATACATACCATCGAAAGAGGAGCTTTCCAAGACTTGGTGGCGGTGGAAAAACTACGGTTAAACAATAATCAAATACGTCACTTGCCCGATCTTCTCTTCAGTAATATGATGAATTTAAAACGCCTGTAAGTATGATTGAGCATATTACGGTGCGAATTATTATTACGTCCTAAATTGAATGATTAGTATGCAATTTTAAACAGATCTATCGACAATCGGATTTCACTTACGTAACAGATAATACAATTACGAGATAGATATCTCCCGACATTCATGACTATTAACGTTATTCATTAGCGCTAACAGACTTGACGCTAACAGACTTGACGGGAGTGATTGCGGCGCTATTGCGAATTTCGAATATTTCATCGTCGCCGCGAGATATCGACGAGCGTAAGAACAGAATTCGTTAAGAGCCGCGAGCGTATTATGCCGCGGGATTTATGCGATCTGTCAGCGGTATACGGTACATAACGCGCGCGGGTAAATGGCGCAGCGGCATTGCGAGATACGGGCAATGTTGCAATGAGTCTACAACGTCATGAAAGTTTGCAATATTGTAGCAACATCCAACGCCGTATTTCGCGCGCGAGGGGGATCGCGGCTTTCTCAGGGAAGCGAAATCTCGGGAGAATAATTACACGTGAGATCAGTCCGAATGTCAGGTTCCGCAGACGCAGGCAAATACGCATGTGTGTTTCGCGACCTCCGTCTCTTTCTATCTCTCTCTGTCTCTCTCTCTCTCTCT